TTTTTTTTTTTCCCATTTATTTATTTTATTGCATTTTAGGTTTTGGGGTACATGTGAAGAACATGCAAGATTGTTGAATAGGTACACACATGGCAGTGTGATTTGCTGCCTTCCTCCCCATCACCTATATCTGGCATCTCTCCTGGCACTTCTTAACAATGTTTTTGCGAATGACTTTCAAGATTTTGCTCTGCTGGAGCATTTCTCGGGAGTTGTTGAGAGATAAATCCTCAGTCAACCCCACCACGGATAAAGTAGAGATACTCTGGTATCAGCTCATCACAGCTGTCCATGATGAATACACGACGGACATAGAGTTTGATGTTGTTCTTTTTCTTCTTGTTCTCAAAAAGGTCAAAGGGAGGTTGCTTTTCATACCGACGAGGTATGAACAGCAATGCCCTGAATTCCAACTGACCTTCTACAGAAAAGTGCTTGACTCCCAAGTGGTCTTCCCAGTCATTGGTGAGGTTTGTAGAATTCTCCATACTCCTCTTGAATGATGTTATCAGGGTTTCTGGTCCAAATAGGCTGGGTCTTGTTTAGTTCTTCCTGATCAATGTATTTCTCTTTGATCTTCTTAGTTTTCTTCTTCTTATCCTTACCGCTATCATCCTCATCTGAACCCACATCTTCAGTCTTGGGCTTTTCTCACCATCTTTATCTTCCTTTTCTTTCTCACCTTTCTCTTCCTCTGCCTCATCATCACTAATTTCCTTCTCTTGTTGCTTCTCCAAATAAAGGGTGACAGGACAGCCTATGAACTGAGAGTGCTTCTTCACCACTTCTTGACCCGCCTTTCTTCTAAGTACTCTGTCTGATCTTCTTTAAGGTAGAGGATCACTTTAGTACCCCTGCCAATGAGCTCACCATGGTCAGCAAGCACAGCGAAGGAACCTCCAGCAGAAGACTCCCAGGCATACTGTTCATCGTCGTTGTGCTTTGTGATCACGACCACATTCTCTGCCACCAGGTAGGCAGAATAAAAGCCAACACCAAATTGCCCAATCATGGAGATGTCTGCACCAGCCTGAAGAACCTCCATGAATGCTTGAGTACCAGACTTGGCAATGGTTTCCAAATTATTTATGAGATCTGCTTTGGTCATGCCAATGCCTGTGTCTACCAAAGTCAAGGTACGTTTCTGATGGTTGGGGATAATTTCAATTTTCAGCTCTTTACCACTGTCCAACTTGGAAGGGTCTGTCAGGCTCTCATAGCAAATCTTGTCCAAGGCATCAGAAGCATTAGAGATCAACTCCCGAAGGAAAATCTCCTTGTTGAAATAGCAGGTATTGCTGATGAGAGACATGAGTTGGGCAATTTCTGCCTGAAAGGCAAAAGTTTCCACCTCCTCCTCTCCATGGTGCACTTCCTCAGGCATCTTGAAAAGTCTCACAGGTATTAGAAAGCAATGTGGGCTGGCTGTCCAACACACACGAGGCACAAGAGCAGCGCCGGAGTGACTCGAGAGAAATAAAAATTTATTAATAAAAAATTATTAAAACATCAAGGAAAAACAGATAAAATCAGGTATATCTGTTTTTTCTTGACTTTTTAATAATTGCCATTCTGACTGGCATGAGATGGCATCTCATTGTGGTTTTGATTTGCATTTCCAATGATTAGTGTTGTTGAGCTTTTTTTCTTATGTTTTTGGCCTCGTCTATGTCTTCTTTTGAGAAGTATCTGTTCACGTCCCTTGTCCATTTTTTAATGAAGTTGTTTTTAATGTAAATTTGCTTATTTGTTGATTCTGAATATTAGGCCTTTGTCAGATGAGTAGATTGCAAAAATTTTCTCCCATCCTGTAGCATGTTTGTTTGCTCTGATGATGATTTCTTTTGCTGTGCAGAATTTCTTGTCTTTAATTAGATCCTATTTGTCAATTTTTGCTTTTGTGGCAGTTGCTTTGGCAATTTCATCATAAAGTCTTTGCCCAATGTGTATGTCCTGAATGGTATTGCCTAGATTTTCTTCCAGGGTTTTTATAGTTTTTGGTTTATACTTAAGTATTGAATCCATCTTGAGTTAACTTTTATGTAAGGTGTAAGGAAGGGATCTAGTTTCAATTTTCTGTATATGGCTAGCCGGTACTCTCAACACCATTTATTAAATAGGAAATCCTTTCCCCGTTGCCCATTTTATTTATCACATTTGTTGGAAAGCACATGGTTGTAGATGTGAGGTCTTCTTTCTGAGTTCTGTTTCTGTGCCATTGGTCTACATGCCTGTGTGTGTGTGTGTGTGTGTGTGTGTGTGTGTGTGTGTGTGTGT